GAAAACCAGATAATTACTACAGTCGTAATAGAGGTCTGGGTTATGATTCATCCGAAGACGATTATGGCCAACAGATTATTAACCAATTAATAGACAGGAGTGGACATTCATCCGATACTTCAAATTGGGATTCTGACGTGAGCATTGGTGAAAGATTCAAATCCCTAATGTCGAACATGGCGACGGTTGACCCTTCCACAACAGAAGAAGACGATCAGTTACCTGTTTGGGAAGATCCATGGATGCATTACATGAATATCCAATACGGTGATCGATTTGAGCAAAGAGAACCTCCTACCGAGGATAAAGTGGTTCAAGTTAATATGGGTGACGAAAATAATCCGAAGCCTATATTTATCAGCGGTGATCTCCCGCCAGACGAAAAAGAGGAATTAATTGCCCTCGTTAAAGAGTATATCGACGTTTTCGCATGGAACTACGAAGATATGCCAGGACTCGACCCAAATGTAGCAATGCATACCCTTAACATAAAATCGGATGCTAAACCTGTCAAGCAACAACAAAGACGGTTTCGTCCGCAAATTATGGAGGCAATAGAAGCTGAAGTTAAGAAGCTAATTGACTCGGGTTTTGTCAGAGAGGAACAACATCCTGAATGGTTGGCCAATATCGTTCCAGTCCTCAAAAAGAACGGAAAAATCAGAATCTGTATTGACTTCAGAGATCTGAATACAGCATGCCCCAAGGATGATTTTCCCCTACCGATTACGGACGTCATTATCGACAACACATGCGGGTTTGAAAGAATGTCGTTCATGGATGGATTTTCTGGGTATAATCAAATCAAGATGCATCCGGATGATGAAAAGCATACAGCTTTCAGAACACCTCTTGGCGTCTTTTGTTATACCGTTATGCCTTTCGGTTTGAAGAACGCCGGTGCTACGTATCAACGGGCGATGACGAAGATCTTTCAAGAACACCTTAGGAAGACAGTCGAATGCTACGTTGATGACCTAGTCGTTAAGAGTCGTGATAAAAACGACCACATTAACGATCTGAAGACAATGTTCGAACTTATGAGAACTCATCAGTTAAAGATGAACCCGACTAAATCCTTCCTTGGAATGTCGAGCGGTAAATTTCTTGGGTTCGTCGTCACCACAAAAGGTATTCATATTGATCCTGATAAGGTGAAGGCGATAAACGAACTGCAGCCTCCAAGAAATCTTAAAGAACTCAGAGGATTGCAAGGTCGATTAGCATATATCCGTCGGTTTATATCGAACTTGTCCGGAAAATGTCAACCGTTTTCCAAACTCGCAAAGAAAGGCGTGTCGTTCATTTGGGATGAAGCATGTCAGAAGGCATTCGAAGATATCAAGAAATATCTAGCGAATCCACCTATTCTCGTTGCACCGAAATCGGGCAAGCCGTTTTTGATTTATGTCAAAGCGACGAGCCATTCGTTAAGTGCCTTACTTGCACAAGACGACGATAACGGTCACGAGCAAGCTGTGTATTATCTGAGTCGTACATTGGTAGGAGCTGAGTCTCGTTATCCGATGATTGAGAAGGAATGCCTCGCTTTGGTATTCGCGATTCAGAAAATGCGACATTATTTAGTCGGACAGACGATTTATGTCATTTCCAACATAAATCCCGTCCGAGTGTTCATGACCCAACCGGCTTCCATGAATTGGCGTTTGGCCAGATGGGCTTTACTCTTATCGCAATATGACTTGTACTTCAAACAGCAGAAATCTGTTAAAGGACGAGCTATTTGCGACCTTCTGGCAGAAAACCCTACGAAGGATGTAGTCGAATTGTACGACGACCTGCCAGATGAAACTCACGAAGTTAATACCACCTCACATCAACAAGTGTGGCAATTGTACTTCGATGGGGCTTCCCGATCAACCAACGTGGCAAGTGCACCCGGATGTTCTAAAATCTCCTCAGGAGTGGGGGTCGTTTTAGTTTCCCCGGAAAAGCACGTCTTGCCTAGAGCATATTCACTGACTGAACCATGCTCTAATAACGTAGCTGAATACAATGCATTAATAATCGGACTTAATTTCGCCAAAGAGCTGGGGGTCGAATACCTTGAAGCTTTTGGAGATTCTCAACTGGTGGTTAATCAAATACGAGGAGAGTATGAAGTCAGAAATCGAGACCTGATTCCATACCACCAGGTGGCCATCGAAATAGCAAGCTCGTTTGAAGAATTTTTCATCGAGTACGTTCCGCGTCTCCAAAATACATACGCGGATGCATTGGCAGCATTGTCAGTATCCTTGGCTCAACCTCCCGAAACAGAGCAATTAATTACAGTGAGGACTCATCAGCTTATTGTTCCAATCTACGATTCGAATGCTAAAGAGGTATACTCAACTGGAGTTGAACCCGAAGTTCGAGATTGGCGTTTTCCTATTATTGACTACGTCTTACATGGTATATTACCTGAAGATGTAAGAGAAAGGGAATCGATTCGGCGAAGAGCGCCGAGATTTTATTACAATGCCACATCGCAAACGTTGTATCGACGAGCTTATGATGGTCTTTTACTTCGTTGTCTATCCAGTAAAGAAGCGGAACAAGCACTCAAAGAGGCACATAATGGGATATGCGGTGCACATCAGCCCGGTCCTAAACTCTGCGACCGACTTAGGAGAATCGGATATTATTGGCCAACTATGGTGAAAGACGCAGTCGATTACGCACGACAATGTGTAGTGTGTCAATTGCATGCAAATTATATGCACATACCCCCTGAATATCTGCATCCTTCGGCGACATCGTGGCCGTTTGAAACTTGGGGAATGGATATAGTAGGTCCTATTTTTCCACCTTCGGTTAAAGGGGACCGTTTCATTCTGGCAATCACCGATTATTTCTCGAAATGGGCAGAAGCAGTTCCACTTAGAGAAGTAAAGACGACCAATGTCATCAAATTTATCAAACACCATATCATATATCGGTACGGTGTGCCAAGGCGAATAGTGCACGACAACGGTCCTCAGTTCGTGAGCAACGCATTCATCAAGTTCTGCGGTAAATTCGGGATTAAAGACGTTTCGTCGACTGCTTATAATCCTACAGCTAACGGATTGGCCGAAGCTTTTAACAAGACTATCATCAAAATCCTGGCAAAATTGGTGAAAACCAATAAGCGAGATTGGGATGACAAACTCGGCGAAGCTCTCTGGGCTTATCGTACGACCGTCCGCACGCCTACCGGAGCCACCCCGTATGCTTTAACGTATGGGTGTGAAGCCGTTCTTCCATTGGAAGTGCAGATTCCTTCTCTCCGTATCGCTCTCGTAACGGGAATGACGACGGAAGAACATCATCAGAAACGTCTCGAGGAATTAGAGATGTTAGATGAGAAACGCTTGGAAGCTCAACAACAAATCGAGTTTTATCAAGCTAGAATTTCTCGGGCTTTCGATAAAAAGGTCCGACGACGAAGCTTTAAAGAAGGAGATCTAGTTCTCGCCGTTCGAAGACCTATGATTCTCACTTCTAAGAAGAAAGGCAAATTTGAACCTAAATGGGAAGGACCGTTTGTGATAGAAACAGTCTATTCGAACGGTGCATATCGCCTGGTTACCCAAGATGGCAACAAATTGATGATGCCAATAAATGGGAAGTTCCTGAAAAAATATTATCCGTAATATATTCAGGATAACCTGTGTAAAGCGGGAAGTTCCTAGAGAATCCTATATAGGATATTTCAGGATAACCCGAGATCAGTTCACTATTTTAAATGAGAAGCTGGTCATTTGAATAATTCATTGTTCTTTTACAACTTTTGTTGAGATGAGATTTAATGATAGTTAATCTTTCCTCAGCAAAACCTTGTAATATAATCATGGAAGATGAGATTTGATGATTTGTAATCTCACGCTATGAAACCCCCATCGGTCGGATTGATCAACGATCATCAGTATGTATCAGTCGACAGATTATTTCGTGTCAAATTCTTATGTTTAAAATCAAAATTTCCCACCGATTAGTTTGTGCAAATCAACAAACTCATTGTTATTTGCACCCTACTCCTATTCCTCACTTGGTCAAACCTTTAAACAGTTAGGACCAAAGCCAAAATCCCCTCTCGATTCTTTCAATGAACGAGAGGTCCACAAATCAAATGATCCAACCTTCCTACAAGTTAGGATCGTCTCAAAACCCCCACTTGGTCAAACCTTACTACAGTTAGGACCACAACCAAAATCTCCTTTCGATTCATTTTTTGCGAACGAAAGGTTTACTTTTGAATTGAGTAATCAAACCTTATGACAGTTAGGATTATTCAAACCAATCTAGATTCTCTAAGTGGAGATTCCACTTTAAGTTTCCTTTTCACCAGGAGAAAGAATATAAAATTCTTCCTCTCCGATTCTGGGTTTATCTCTACCAACAAACAAGAGACCAGGAGATAGAATATAAAATTCTTCCTCTCCGATTCTGGGTTTATCTCTACCAACAAACAAGAGACCAGGAGATAGAATATAAAATTCGTCCTCTCCGATTCCGGGTTTATCTCTACCAACAAACAAGAGATTGAGAAACGGAATATGCAATTCTTTTTCTCTCCAATTCTGGGTTCATTTTCCTGTATAGGAAATATAACCTATTCTCATTCTAAAATCCATGTCGTTCGCACATGGGGGATGTTATCTCTATCCCTTATTAGAGATAAGCCTACATCTAACACATGTAGCCTACATATTCAACAGTGTAGTTCAAAGTCTAAAAGAGTTTAATTCTTTTAGCGCAACGTTATATGTGAAACGGACTTAGATAATTCACATACTAGCCCGATTCAAACGGTAGTCGGTAAAGGCATATCAAATCCGTTGATGGCTGAGGATTTGCCAAAAATCCTATAAGTATTATGGTTATTTATTCTAAACAAGAATGAGTAATCATAATAAAACCTCAATGAGCAAAAAGATTCAATATATTGAGCAAAAAGGTTCACTATGTTGACCAGGAGTTTTCAAACAAAGTTACAAAAATTATATGTTCTCCAATTACAAAAGTTTATACTGACTAATCTGATTTTCAAGTTTTGACAGCTCTAACGCACGAGCCTGTTCAAGCTCAGCTGCCAATTTGATTTTAAAGGCTTCTTCGTCAACGTTGTGAAGCGCGGCGATCTCTTGTTCCTTTTCAGCAATCATTTGATCTTGAAGGTTCAGTTGCTGTAATAAGTTGCCTTCAGTGTGAATTTCCCGCTTCAACTCGGACTCCAAGACATCATGAGCATCCTTGGCCATTGCAAGTTCCTCCTCTAAGCGAGCTATTTCTGCTCGACTCGATTCTAAATCCCGACGTAGGTTAACCTGGGCTTGTATTCTCTTGCCAACATTCATCCTAAGTTGATCGCTGTGGGCTCTTAGCTGTTGGAGCTCGAGATTAGCTGATGTTTGGGAATCACGCAACGCTTGTAGCTTGGAGTCCATGCGAGAAGCAATGTAGGAAGGTACGCTTTCAGTGCGAAGACCCCTCAGAAGGTCAACATGTTGCTTCAAGTCAACCATGTAGGCGTTGATCGAATCGGCTAAATCATTATATCCTTCATCACGGATCCCTGATATATAGCGGTCAAGAGGTTTCTTAAAACTCTCAAATCGCGATCCTTTGGAGAGAATACGATCAACCATAGAATTCAAAAAGGAGATGAAGCCGTCGAGATCAGAGCAAATGCCGGCTTTATCCGGATCCTCGTCTGCTAACAAAGCTCGGATGCGATCTGATAATGATGATGAAGGAACTGCGATGAAGGCAAATAGGTCAGTACAGGACATATATACATACAAGACAACAAACTAAGACATACCAAGTTCGATGGAAGAACCTTCAGCATGACTTAGTTCACCCGAGGATGGTAACCTGATTTCCGGAACAACCAAGGTTGATTCAGGAATGGTAGTTGTTGATGCACCCGCTACATCAGAGGCTTTTTCAATTAAAGCTTCAGAAGACGGCGGGGCCAAGCTAAGAATCCGAGCTTGAAACAAACGATAAATGAAACTCACCAATTCTAGTCACAACATCGGCCGATGTACCAACATCTTCAGTTGGTCTCGCTTTTGTTGCGACCGGACTAATCTGGGGAGTGACACTGACTTCTATCATCATGGGATCCATAGGAGTAGCAGGCTGGAATTCAGGAATAGATGATTGGAGATTAACTTCGGTTCCTGTCCACGGCACAAGTTCACTATCCTCCAGTCGATTAGACGTACCAATGACTATAGTAGTATCAGTTCCAGCAACTGGTCCTATAATTCAAGTACTTATATGGTTAATCAAGTTAAAATATATATGTATGCATATATGGAGTTTACAGAATAAAGGTCTTACTTTCAGAAGGACCTGCTTCTGTTGAACCGACTCCAACGCTGGATTCCATGGCTGCACCAGGAGTTTTCCCCGATAGTAAGTCGGAGATATACTCATGGTCGCCTTCAGAGAGATTGAAATCGAGGTGATGTTCATTGAATTCCTCGACCTCTGTTGTATGCGTGGTCTCTCCTCCAACAGATTCGTGCATTGTGACATCTACAAAATGTGTTGAGTCGTAAATGACACGTAAATTTAAACAAATTTGCTCAAGACAAAGATTGATTTTTACCTTCATTGGTCGGGGCGGATTCGAGAGCTTCACTATTCGTACCTGCTTCTTTAAATTTGACTAAAAGGAGAGAAAGTGCACAGGTCATTAGAGGAGGCACACGGTCCGACTCATTTATTTCTCGGATTTCTCTTCCGAGAGGAGAAAGATCAGTACCTGTGTCCGCAACTGATGGATCAACGTCAGGAGTTGGTGGAACATCAGCCGGTCCTTCCTTCAGAGCATCATGCATTTGTTGGACGAAGCTTGTTTCCTCAATTTCCATCCCTCCGGGAGAAGCAGCATCAGCTGACAATTCTCCTTCCTCTCGACTCCCTGCAGAAGTTGAACATGAAATAAGTTTGAACGTCAAAAAGTGTAAAAGCTATAAAAAACAAATCGTTACCTTGTTCATCAGAAGAAGCACTATGACCAGACGCCTCTTCTAGAGCCGGAAGATGAACGCGTGGTTTAGAGGCAGCTTTCTTTTGCTTTTTCAATGGACGTGCGTCAGAACCTTCGTGACGATGTTTGGTGCGTAATTCAGCTCTGGGTGAAGCTGGAGTTTGAACCTGAGTGGGAGTTCGAGATATTTGCCTACGAGCAAGAGGCACCAAATCCTCTTCATCCTCTTCATCGCAGCTAAGAACTTCTACCGTCATCTTGTTAGGATATTCCCTGACGACTCTCTCCTTCCGTTTTTTCGGAGCAGCTTGTGATTGAGTAGGCGCAGCAGATGGACGCACAAGTCCCCTATCAAAGAAAGAGTCAGGGAGACCTGATGCCTCTTCAAAATTTGAACTGGTTTCACCTTCCTCTTCAGAAGTTTCGGTCGCTTCACTATCAAACTCCTCTTCACTATCAACTGGGAGAGCCGGTTCCTTTCCTTTCCTTGATGATTCAGCAGCCTCTTTTCCTCGAGGCGACATCACAGCTTCGCGAGGCGGTTCTGTTGCTTGCCGTGGAGCTATTTCTTCCTCTGAGTCTGATATCCTCCTACGTCGAGTGACAATATTGGTGGCTATCAGCCCTTTGCAAAAGAGGAAAGTCATCCGTAGAGGCGGCGTCTCTAAGGGGAGATCAAATTCAACATTAGTGCAACCGGCAATGCTCCAAAACCAAGCTCTCGCCCCGTCGATAAGTCCACCTCGAAAGCTGAGATGACGATTCGGGTTGCCGATGTATATCTGATCATACCCGAACTGACGGGCGAATCGACATGGAAGATAGGGTTCGATGTGGCAAACATCCCTTATCCTGAACAACAGATATCCAGGTCGAATATTCATCAACCATCTGAAGCACCCGACATCCAAGATGGTACGATTCTGCCTTGGGTCTTCAGCATCCACTAAGGTAGTGTTGTAAGTACCGGAGAACTGAGGGAAGCAGGGAAAAAATTCCCAACATTTGTGAATTTTAAACTGCCTCGTTATGTCCGGCTCTCGATGTTTGCTCCATTTGCAATTCTCGAGATTTTGCAACAGAGGGACACTGAGATCTACCGTATCAGGAGCCTCCATTAAATCTGGTCGATGAAGTACCAACCAGGCCATTAAGTAAGTATAGGGCAGCTCCAGCTTCGGAACGGACAGGCTGGCGGAAGGTTTCTTTTTCTCCTGGGTAAATGCGGAGATTAGTTGCCGCAATCCACTATGAATATCGGCCACCATAGCGGGAAGCAAAGATAATTTGCGACCTGTAGCCAGCTGGACGGCCGGATACAACACTTCCATTGGCATCGCATCTGCGGATTGATGGGGAACTACACATCTCTTTAACCATAAAGCTAGAAAACCCGCCAGTAGAGCAGTAGGGCTAATCGGAACACCGGCTTGCCACAGATAAGAGCGGAACTTAGTGCCGTGTAAAAATCCATCTTCTGAGCGCGAGGTATAAGATTGCGCGTTGGTTTTCCCTAACAGGCGATTGATTTCATCAGTACTCAAAGGAGACAATCCGCACACGTTTGCCGAACGGTCATCCAGATTCTTGAAGAGATAATCGGCGAATTGTTTCAAGCTGACCTGAGGAAATTTCTTTCTAGCTTTGGGCTCCATCTCGGCCATGGCTATATGATAATGGCAAGTCAATTCCCATAAAGTATCATGAGTCACAGTTGAGCTATCTTTCATCTTGTTCAGCTGATTGCTAGTTGGAAAGAACTCTTGATAGGGAACATCGCCCATAGGCAAACCAGACACCTGCATCATTTCATGCAGTGGTAATCCGAGTTCCCCGTTCTTGGTAAAGAATGTATTAGTGTTCGGGTTATAGATCTCGAACAAACAGAGGAAATAACCTACACTACTCTGTAGGCCATGCATGGTGGCACGAATCGGGACATCTAACCCTAATTCTGCTAACTCTCGCCCAAAGCGGTTTAACACATATCGGGTCATCCTGGTCCACCACCATTTGTCCCCAGAATAATGAACCCATCCATAGCATCTAAAAGTATCTTTGGGTAATCTTTTTCCCGCTGCCGCTAACTGGTTCTTCACGGTGTTGGCTTGCACTATCTTCTCATTCTGAGGTATATTATCTTGTCCTAAGATACCCGGATGAAGCCCCCGCACATGAGCTCTTTCACTGGAGCCTGGGTTGGCTTCCTTCCCAATAAAACCACAATGAATACGCTCGTGGTTTTCGGTTAACTTCCAGAACATCTCACGTCCAACCGATAGGTTCCTGAACTTTAGTAATGAATGATCCCGAGGGATAAAAGGCAGATATAAGAATGAGGACCCATTCTGGTGCAACCATTGCGCAGGCTGGCAGAAAGCAATCTTCGGATCTTTCACCGAATCACCAAACAAGAAATCTGGCTTCCTTATGCATTGATTCGAGTCTTGCTCCGAGATCAAGGGCGCATCTGTGATTAATCGTCGTAGAACACGACAACTACCTCGCTGGATTAATTCTCTATCACTTCCGCTATAATCAGATTTAAACTGGGGAGATGATGCAATTAACGGAATTCCCTCATAATAAGAATGGGTCACGCTACTCTGACCCGTAACCGCATCAGCATTAAAGATGGAGGAAGGGAATCGGACTGATAAAAGAGGCATACACATAAATTGTGTAAGTGTCATCCTAAAATTTTAGAGAAAAGCGGTATATCTCATTCTATAAGATATAGTCGTTATCTCATAACAGGTGTGACGATTTTCTATCCACCATATGTATAAAGGAGATATGCGGGCATTATAACGGCATACCAAAACCTTTCAATACATGTGGGATGATATGAAATCGCCCCTGTGTATTATGAAGTGTGTTTTGTCAAAGCAAAACAAACACTTTTAAGCGTCGATCCCCTCAAAGGAGGATACCGGCTCTTCTCGAAGGTACCTCAAAGGATACAAACGAGGATCTGCAAGCAAATATAGGAACATACATATGGAATTGACGAAATACAGTATTTAAATTCGTGAAAAGGTGAAAGAAATATACCTCCACGTGAGGGTGCAGCAGGGGCAGCCTCCTCAGGGCTCTGAACAGTCGGTCGGATTCCCTTTCCTCGAGCTCTACGCGGCGACATAATGAGCAAATGATCTACAAGGAGACCCAATGAAAAAAGTCAAGATTTTAAGCATGAAATCGACCAAAATGTCACAGAGTATAGCCGAAACAATGCATGCACAGTCCCAGTTGAAGAAAATCAAGGTTTTGAAGGAAAGAGGGAAATCAAACTTACCAAATCCAAGTGAAATCTCTTCAAATCGAAGCACCACCCAAATCAGAAACGAAGAGAAGAAGAAGAAGTGAAGAACTGGTCGAAAATCGCTCGAAAATCGCCCAAGAATCGCTCAAAAAATTGCCAAAATCCGACGTGAAAAACCCTAAAAACCCTAAGTTCGCGATTTTATACCCCCTGTCTCGCTGAACGAGATAGCAAATACTGTCTCGCTGAGCGAGACAGCAAATACTGTCTCGCCCAGTGAGATAGCAAATACTGTCTCGCCCAGCGAGACAGCAAATACTGTCTCGCCTTGCGAGACAGTAAATACTGGAGAGCTGTCTCACGCCGCGAGACAGCAAGCACTGTTTCCCACCCTCAATAGGAAGTTTCTAGAGAATATTAATTTGAATATTCTTAAGGATAACCTGAGGGATTCTCAATGGATATACCAATTCAGTGGTAAAAGCTGAATCACAAGAGCAAGTATCAACTTCAATTCAAGATCTCGACAACGGTCAAGCGATAAACGCGACGCCGGGAGAACATTAGCTATTCTACGAAGAACTGAATAGACTAACAGCAGAAGAGGTCAAACATTGAAGCCATTTACAAGTCCTTCCATACGATCTATTCAGCCAAGCATTGAAGGGATCGTAAGTAAAATCTATCTTATCCAAAGTATCCCATGCTCCTCTATAAAAGAATGAGTCTGGAATACTTTGGAGGGGGTATCTGTAGGCGTCAAAAAATGCTAATAGATATCCCAAGCATAGAGAAGATCACTCAAAAATTCACAAGAAAGGATTTCATACTGTTTTGGAAAAATCAAAACAAGTATGAACTGTCTCGCCAGCGAGACAGTCTTTGCTGTCTCGCCAGCGAGACAGTGTTGAAATAGTCAAAACTACATTTGTAACTGCCCTACACGTGTCCATTAACTGCCAAGGGACGTGGGAAACATCATGGGCGAAAATCACGTGGATAACTGCCAAAATAACGGAGTTTGAAACGTGAGAGAACAGTTACAGCGAGAAACTGCCATTTTCCGAGACAGCATTTACTGTCTCGCTGAGCGAGACAGCAAATTTACTGTCTCGCGGGTCGAGACAGC